TTTGGTTGGGTGGTTACTTAGAGGAGCAGAAATGATTTAAAGACAGCTGCATCACCAAAGTCCAGCCAGCAAGGATGACATATCACAAAGCTGGAAACCTGGAGCACTGCACAGCCTGCAGGGGCTCAACAGGTTGGAGGGTGGCTCAGCTGGTCTAAGACTCTTTCCAGACAGCTTGGTCTGAGTCTCTTTCAAGAAGCTTAGCTTCTGCCGGGCGGTGGTGGCACATGCCTTTAATCCCAGCACTTGGGAGGCAGAGGCAGGCGGATTTCTGTGTTCAAGGCCAGCCTGGTCTACAGAGTGAGTTCCAGGACAGCCAGGACTACACAGAGAAACCCTGTCTCGAAAAACCAAAAAAAAAAAAAAAAAAAAAAGAAGCTTAGCTTCTCTGAGAATCTTCTAGGCAGCTGGCTAGTCTCTGTGTCTTATAGTTGGCTTAGCTTCCCTGAGTCTTTAGGTGGCCTCAGTTTGTCTGAGAGTAACTCTTAGCAGTCTTGATGGCTATATTGTTGGGAAGGGAGGGACCTAGTGGATTTGGTCTGTTTCAGGGACTTCCTAAAGCTATTTGGCTTGTTTACTTCCTGTCTTAAAGAGATTCCCTGGAGAATGGAATTTTCTCCTTGTAGGCATCTTGTCTTAAAATATTGTTTCACCTCCATTTAAAAAAAATATTTTAGCCGGGCAGTGGTGGCGCACGCCTTTAATCCCAGCACTTGGGAGGCAGAGTCAGGGGGATTTCTGAGTTCGAGAGTTCGAGGCTAGCCTGGTCTACAGAGTGAGTTCCAGGACAGCCAGGGCTACACAGAGAAATACTGTCTCGAAAAACCAAAAAATAAATAAATAAAAATAAAAAATAAAAATAAAATAAAAAAATATATTTTAAAAAGATTTATTTATTTATTATATGAGTGCTCTATCTGCATGTACACCTGCATGTCAGAAGAGGGCATCAGATCACATTATATATGGTTGTGAGCTTCCATGTGGTTACTGAGAATTGAACTCAGGATCTCTGGAACCAGAGCAGCCAGTGCTCTTAACCATGGAGCCATCTCTCCAGCCCTCACCTCCATTTTTTTTGTACCTTATGTCTTAAAAAAAAAAAAAAAATTCTCGGGGCTGGAGAGTTGGCTCAGAGGTTAAGAGCACAGACTGCCCTTCAAGAGGTCATGAGTTCAATTCCCAGCAACCACATGGTGGCTCACAACCATCTATAATGAAATCTGGTGCCGTCTTCTGGCCTGCAGGTGTACAAACAGGCAGAACACTGTATACATAATAAATAAATAAATCTTTAAAAAAAAAAAAAAAAAAAAATTCTCTCCAAGATGTAAGGTTCCGATTTCAGAGGAAACAGATACAACTTCCACTTTTTTTTTTTTCAGACAAGCTCTCACATTGCCTAAGGTAGCCTCAAACTCAATATGTAGATGTAGCTTAAACAACTTCTCCTTGTTCTTCTTTTTCTACTCCCACCCCTACCTCCCCACTCTCACCCCCGAGACAGCATTTCTCTGTATAGCTCTGGCTGTTATTTCCAGGCTGGCCTTGAAATAAGAGAGATCTACTTGTCTCTGCCTCCTCAGTGCTGGTATTTATTTTTTTTATTTGATGTGCATTGATGTTTTGCCTACATGACGCTTGTGTGTCTGTGGGAGGGTGTCAGAGCCCCTTTATAAACCGTTGTGAGCTGCCTTGTGTGCTGGGAATTGAACTAGAGTCCTCTCAAAGAGCAGCCAGTGCTCTTAATCCGTAAGCTGTGTCTCCAGCCTGACTAGCTCTTAGTCTCACAGAACATGATGGTTGCTGGTCCTGTGTGGTGGCCCCACATACCTTCCTCCCTGATTCTAGCAGAGGGGTGTTTGCCTTGCTTAGCTAAATCCCAGTTGTTAGCATTCTGTCTAAACTCCACCTCCACAGTTACATGGCAACAGCTAGGTAGGCCTGGCCCACTATAAAAGGGGCTGCTTGCTCCCTCCTCTCTCTCTTGTTCTCTCGATCTCTTGATCCCTCTGTCCCTTTGTCCCTTCCCCCTCTCTCCATGTGCTCTTGGCCAGCCCCTAAATAAACTTTGTCCTATACTATACTGTGTGACTGGTCCTTCAGGGGGAAGGGATGCTTCTGCATGGGCTCACTGAGATATCCCCTTTCCGCATATCTCACTACACACACCCATAGAACATATTCTCTTTGTCTTTATCTTTTTATAAACACATCAGCAGTCACTGCATGCTTATTTTGACAATTTTGACACGATTAGAAAATGACATTCAAGCCGGGCGGTGGTGGCGCACGCCTTTAATCCCAGCACTTGGGAGGCAGAGGCAGGTGGATTTCTGAGTTCGAGAGTTCGAGGGTAGCCTGGTCTACAGAGTGAGTTCCAGGACAGCCAGGGCTACACAGAGAAACCTTGTCTCGAAAAACCAAAAAAAAAAAAAAAAAAGAAAAAAAAAAAAGAAAATGACATTCAGCGTCTATGGTCTCATCTCAGCCTTTTCCCTGGGTTTGACAGAGTGGATCTGAGCAGTGAGGTGCAGAACTATGCCTGAATACAGTAGATTGCCACTCTGGGCGAGAACTGTACTGTGTTCTCACATGCTGCTTCTGCCTGTGCACAGCATGGTGAGGAAGGCTTCCTTGCCTACCCTGTATCAGTCTGAACTCTTCCCAAGAGCTGGAGGACAGCAACCAAGACATCCCCTGAAAATCCTTTGTCTAAGTGACAAAAGCCTTTTGCACCACAGCCTACAGGCAAAGCTGCAGGCTACAGCAGTTAGGCTGGGGTGGGTAGAGGGGCAAGCAAAAGGCTATGGTTGAGCAAGAAATTTGAGACCGGGATCTGGTATAAGAATCCCAGAAGTAGGCCGGGCGGTGGTGGCACATGCCTTTAATCCCAGCACTTGGGAAGCAGAGGCAGGTGGATTTCTGAGTTTGAGGCTAGCCTGGTCTACAGAATGATTTCCAGGACAGCCAAGGCTACACAGAGAAACCATGTCTCAGGAAAACAAAAACAAAAACAAAACAAAACAAAAATCCCAGAAGTGAAAAAACACAAAACAGAGGGAGGAGAGCATGTTTTAATCTGGTTCTGTAAGAAATGGCAATAAAGCAGGAGGCAGTGATTGCAAGCCAGGAGTCTTAGGTGAGGCAGAGCTGGATAAGCCTTTCAGTATGGACAACAGCTCTCAAACTGTTTTCCTTAGGCTATGGTCTGAAGAGCGCCTAGGGCTCAGTTGAGGGAGTATCTGTCCTCATAAAATCCCAGTGACAAACCAAACTCCCATTCCACCAAAATTAACACTGGGAGCTAAGTGAGTTTATTGGGGTTACTTACAGAGTATTGGTGTCCCTAAAGCAGTGGTCCCAGCATGGATGGTGGATTCTTTACCTTACTTAGATGGGTGCCTCCCCACCTCCCACTGCTCCCAGTTTATACTCTCTAACCTCTCCCCTAAATCCTAAGGCTATGTACAATTAGGGCAGAATTACCTGTAATTGGCTGGGAGAGGTGGCTGGATACTCAGATGAGGGTCTGTGACCTCTGTCCCTCCTGTCAGGAAAGGTCAGCGATCAACAGGTCCAACTATGTCGGTCTTTTGCAAGCAGGGTCTGCACCAGTTTGGCTCGGAGGGTAGTCTGGTATCTCAACCATCAACCTTGGGTTTTGTTCCTTTTTAGCCGGGCCCAAGAAATGAGAGTTGGGGTTGACAAGATGACTGGGTAGGCAAAAGTGTTTCCATCGCGCCTGGGCACGGAAATGTCATCACTAAAACACGCAGGAAATGAGAACAATGAGTCCTGCCTGCTGTCCTCTAACTTGCACACACATCTGACCTACTCGTGCACTGTGGCACGCGATTGCCCACTCACACACTCACACACATTATAACGTGCACGCATTATTAATAATACATATGATAAAAAATTTTAAAAGTAATGGGAATGACAACTGATGTCAACTTGGTGTCCATCACTAGACCGATCTACTTCCATATCATGACAGGAGCCCCTAAAGTCCTGTGCGGTCCTGCTGGGGAGAGCTGAGACAGTTCTGGGAGGCGTGGACCCTATCCAGCTCCCTGTCCCATGAACAGGAGAAATGGTTGTTTCTCTACAAGTATCTGCCCATTCACACTCATTGCTCAAACCTTTGGCCTCAAGACATTAGCATGTTCTCCACGTCCCTGTACAGCCCTCTCTAGGTTACAGAAGGAGCCACAGAAACCTAGAGTCAAGAAAGCCTTGAATCCAGGCAGAAACGTTTCAACCTGAGGCAAGAGGACCACTCCAAGATCAAGGCCAGCAGGCATGAATTTTGTACTGAGTTCTAGGCCAGCTGGAGCTATGACTATATTAAACTCCCTTAAAGCTCCCAAAACTGTGATTCCAATATAGAAGCAGCCTTTTATTTGCCTTATCAGTTTAAGAATTAACAGAAGTAGGCTGCGATGGTGGGTTAGTGGTAGACACTTGTCTAGTATTCCTGAGGCCCTGGGTTCAACCCCAACACTATGAAAACAGATATGAGGGCACAGGTCTATAATCCTAGCACTTGGAAAGCTGAAGTAGGAGTCCCATAAATTTGAGGCTAGCCTGGGCTACATAGCAAGAGCAATGGCCGCGAAGCAAGACGATCTCAAAATACCAGAACAAAATCCAGACATGGTGGTGCACACTTTTAATCTCGGCACTTGGAGGCAAAGGCAGGTGGATCTCTGAGTTCCAGGCCAGCCAGGGTTACCGGGTCAGATCCTGTCTCAAAAACAAGACAACAAAGCTTTTTTTTTTTTTTTTAAGATTTATTTATTTATTTTATTTATGAGTACACTGTCACTGTCTTCGGACACACCAGAATAGGGCATCCAATCTCATTACAGATGGTTGTGAGCCACCATGTGGTTGCTGGGATTTGAACTCATGACCTGTGGAAGAGCAGTCAGTGCTCTTAACCGCTGAGCCATCTCTCCAGCCCCCAACAAAGCTTTAATATCCCAAAACAAATGAAGATGAACACAACCAAGGTGCAGAATTCAGCTGGGGATTTAGGAAGCGTTAAGCAGGTAAAGAGGGAAACTGCAGTACCCATAGCATTTAAAAACTGAAAGATTGCAGACAGGTCAAGGGTCTTCACACATTAGGATCAAAGGAAGACAATGTATAGATCATAAAATGCAGCCAGCGTCTAGCTACACACCATGGGCAGTTGCTGTGTACACACCTACTAAAGAGCTCTGAGAAAGTTCACACCATGCCCAGGAGGTCCTGTCTATCCAAAATAGCTCTGAAAAAACTTCGACACAAGGTTCACGAAAATACGCTTCACAAGGATTGCGAGTTGACCAACCAGGTATACTCGATGTTCTATGGGAATCTCGACGTCTTTCATTTCTGGGCTACTTGTCAGCCTTTTGCTTACTTCATGCAAATGTTCCCAAGACTCCATGGTACACTGCTGTGTGACATTGACCGCAGAAGCCTTGAACTCTCTTACCAGGTCAGTGGAAGGGAACGTCTTGACCCACTCAATCATCAGCTGTGCCCCCTCATACAACAACCACCCGGGTTCAGAGGTGCACGCCTCAGGCAGGGTAACTGAGCCCTGGACCCTCTTCATTTCCCCAGGGGATGGCACCAGGTGCCTCAGAATGACTTCATTATTGGCACTCCCTTCCTCCTGGCTACGCTTTTGACTCTCGAGGATCAGGGTTTCAGTGCCGTCTTTTCCTCCCATTTTAGTGTGCCGAAGCTGCAGAAGGTAGGCCTCAGCAGGGCAGCCGATTTTTTCCAGGACAAATCTCAGCGCTAAGAGATACTCAGACAGAGGAGTTACGGGGAGCACCGTGTACAAGAGGTTCTGGCAGGTACTGGAGGTTGGAGGAGGAATCTTGTTGGACAGTACATCTGATGTAGGCTCAGTTTCTGTGACAGCTGGCAGGCCACCATCCTGAGTCTTCCATGGAAAAGCGGTCACCGAGGACAGCAAGATACACTCAAGGAACAATGCAGCCTGGATCATGGTGGGTCTGCAGAACAGCACTGTTGGGAAGGAGCAGAACTCAGGTCAGAGCGGGGAGGGACATTCAACAAGAACAGGCATCAAGAACAGTCAGAGTTTGGTAGAGTGCCAGTCATTGGAGACTTCAATTTCCCTGGACATGTTTTTACCCGCTTAGAGGCTGTTTGTTACCCTCACCTGTCTGAAAAGCAGCAGAGGAATGAGGTGGTCCTCTGTCTCAGCCAGTCCCTAGTTGGAGCAGCTATCTTCCAGATCTTAACTTTTTGTAGTTGATGACTGAAAACAAATATTTACCACCTCTTTCTGGGCTAGACTTTACCCGACCAACTATTGCCCCATCCTGACAGACAGACAGTCAGACAAGGCCCCATCCTGACAGACAAGGCTCCTCCTTTGTGGCTCCCAGCTGTCTCTAGACCATAGTCTAGTCGCCCTAGATAGTTATATAGACTTAAGTCAGACCAGGCAAAGCTTCTCTGTATCCTCTACACAATGGACACTTTGTTCTCTTTTGAGACTGGGCCTTCTGTGGCCCTAGATGGCTTGGAATTCAACTAATTAGCCAAGGATGACCTTGGATTCTGATTCTTCTGATACCACAGCCCCAGTGCTGGGATTTACAGGAATTGCCACCACGTGCAGTTGCACACGCAGAGAATCAAACCCAAGGGTTCATGCACGTTAAGCAACCACATTACCAACTGGGCTGCACTCCCAGTCCAGGAACTGTGTTTACTTTAAAGACTTACCAATCAAAAGTTTTGAAAAATAGAACCTACAGCAAATCAAGTTATATTAGAGCAGTCTTTGAGGGTTTTTTTTTGTTGTTGGTTTTTTTTTTTTAACTTTTATTGTTTTGTTTGTTGGTCTGTGATAGGGTTTCTCTGTGTAGCCTTGGTTGTCCTGAAACGCACTCTACAGACCAGGCTGGCCTCAAACTCAGAGATATGTCTGCATCTGCCTCCAGAGTGCTGGGATTAAAGGCGAGTGCCTACAGAGGCCAGATGAGCTGGAGTTACAGGCAGTTGTAAGCCATCTGACATGGTTGCCAGGACTCAAAATTCGTCCTTTGGAGGGAGTCTTACATGTTCTTAACCATTGAGCCCTCTCTCCAGCCCCTATTTACTTTTTTTATTGTTTGAGACAGTCCTGCTGTCCTGGAGCTAGGTAGACCTGGCTTGCCTTCAACTCACAGAGATCTTCCTGCCTCTGCCTCCAAATGCTAAGATTAAAGGTTTAAGCCATCACCACTCACCTGGCTGGTGGTTTTTTGTTTTGTTTTGACACTTCATAGCCCAAGCTGGACTACCTTCATATATAGTCTAAGTAATATTGCTTTAGTCTCTGAGTGCTGAGATTATAGGCATAAGCCACCAGACCTATTATGTTTGAGGACAGGGTCTCAGACACGTGGGTAAAAGTATTTTTTTCAGAACAAGCCCGACCAGCTGAGAACCCAGGTAATAGATACAGACTTTGAAAACATATGATATTTCCTTAAAAAGAATTAAAATAATAATAATAAATTTGATTATTGCCGGGAGCCTGCCTGGCTGGGAAGGGTTGGAATGGGGCACAGCGTCAGACACAGGTCAAAAGACTGACGATCTCTGGCTCTTTAATTTTCCGTTATAACTGTTCTGTGCTTCAGTAAGCACTGGAAAACTTAATTTTATTTACTTTATAAATTTACTATATAACTCTCTGGCAATTAACATAGGCTGTATAGCGGCAAGAAATTTAGTAAAGGATTTATTTCTAGTGCGCCTTTTTCTGGCTAGAAAAACCAGAGAGAAAAAGGAGAGGAAAGATGTCACTAGCACGGATGCCACAGAGCCCCCAAGCTCATTTTTATTTCTTTCCTCTCACCTTTCTATAGACAAAAGTTCTTAGAAAATTACCTCATAGATAAAATATTACACAAAAAGGGAGTCCACAGAAGGATGTCAATGATAAGTTCAAAGCAGTGTTTCTTTTTTTTCTTTTTTTTAAAAATTTATTTACTTTATTTATATGAGTACACTGTATCTGTCTTCAGACACACCAGAAGAGGGCATCAGATCCCATTACAGATGGTTGTGAGCCACCATGTGGTTGCTGGGAATTGAATTCAGGACCTCTGGAAGAGCAGCCAGTGCTCTTAACCGCTGGGCCATCTCTCCAGCCCCAAAGCAGTGTTTCATATTGCAAACTCATTACAAGTTCAAAGCATCGGTTTCACGTAGCCTTGCTTCATCATAGTGCACACCTGCGGCTTCATCCTTGGACCTAAATGTTTTTCCTTGATCACAGATCTGTCCCACGCCTATTTCTCTTTTTATTGTGATTGTGAAAGCTCACTGTATTTCTTACTACGCAGTCTTTACTATTACGAGTAGTGGGCGCACTCTATCCTCGATTCTAACTTTATTATTTCTAGCAAAACAACTAACTTGCTGGGCGATGGTGGCGCACGCCTTTAATCCCAGCACTTGGGAGGCAGAGGCAGGAGGATTTCTGAGTTCGAGGCCAGCCTGGTCTACAGAGTGAGTTCCAGGACAGCCCGGGCTACACAGAGAAACCCTGTCTCGAAAAACCAAAAAAAAAAAACAAAAAACAAAACAACTAACTTTCTTCCGGGTTGGTGAGATGGCTCAGAGGTTAAGAGCACTGACTGATCTTCAAACCCCAACAACCACATGGTGGCTCACAACCATCCGTAATGATATCTGATGCCCTCATACGGGTGTCTGAAGACAGCTACAGCGTACTGTGGCCTGGAGCAAGTGGGGCGAAACAAGAGGGAGAAGGGGCTTATTATACTAATAATGACTGGAAAGGTTTATCACCTACAAGAAGCACTCCTGAGATGAAGTCTCTCAGGGCCTTACCTCTCAGAGCTCACCTATCTTAGTTCATGTGAAAAGGTGGGCCACCTCCAGGAAGGCCATCTGCTAGCTTTAGCCTATCCAAGATGGCTCCTGACAGATTATGTGTGTAGGTGTTGCATGTGTGTGTGCCATGTGCACGCAGTGCCCACAAAAACCAGAAGGCATCAAATCACCTGAAACCGAAGTTGCAGGTGGTTGTGAGCTACCATGTGGGTGCAGAGGAACCCAGGTTTCTGGAAGAGCAACCAGCGCTCTTAACCACTGAGCCATCCCTCCAGACCCCCATAACTAATTTTTAAGAGGCAGCTTATGAAGAATTTGAAGAAGACAGAGTGGCTATATTAATATAACCTAAAGGGTAGTATACCTTTTTTTTTTTTTTTGAGACAGGGTTTACTCAAGCTTTATATGTTGAGGAGGAGGCTGGGCTTGAATTCCTGATCATCCTGCTGCCATCTCAAGCGCTGGGTTACATGTGTAAGCCACCATCCTTAGCTAAAGAGTAGACTAGAGGAAAATTACTAGTGTAGTGATGTCATTTGAGAGAGAGGGACTGGGGTATTATAAAGTAGGTGGGTGTTTGGCTTTCATCCCGTTTCCCAGTCTGTTTTGAAATCCTTATAACACACATTTGTGGTGTGAGGCATGCTAGGATGACTGGTGCTTGTTGCCAGGGGAACCAACCATGTGATAAGAGAATACTCTGCTTCACCCTTGACTTCCCAAGGTAAGAGGGGCAACTAATAAAGCAGCAATCAATGATTTTAATCAATTGTGCTTATGTGATACATTTTATAACTCCCCTGAAGGTCTGAGCTCTGAGGGCAATAGTCAGTCAAAAGAGCACAGCCAGATTATAATGGGACAGGATAGCCTTTCTAGGGGGGAAAAAAACAAATAATGGAAGAGTACTCAGTTAGAAAGTGGAAAGGCTCAGGACCAAGAGACATCAAGACCAGTCAGAGCCAGAAGGCACCAAAGTCCTTGGAAACTTCAACTCCATTGATTGATTGACTGACCGATTGATTTCTGAGACAGGGTTTCTCTGTATATCTCTGGCTATCCTGGAACTCATCCTGTAGGCCAGGCTGGTCTAGAACTCAGAGATCTACCCACCTCTGCCTCCCGAGTGCTGGAATTAAAGGTATGTGTCACCAGGCCCTGCTGAGCCCTTGGATCTTAAAGGCTAGTTTCTGAATCTTACCTTTAGTTTGGCTCCACTGGAAGCCAGAACAGAAAGATGCTTCCAAGGCTAGGCACCATCTTTGCTTGCTCACATGGTTGGTTTATCCTCCTATTGTTACCCAGGACTTTCTTGCTGTCTTTTGTCCTTTCCTTTGCCCGATGCTGACACAACTGTCTTAAACTCTTTGCAGCTTCTGCTTCTCCCCAGTCCACATGAAGATCCAACCTGCAGGCTGCAGTGATGACTCCCCAGTAAGAGTGCTTGCAGCTTTTCTAGAGGACTATGTTCAGTTCCCAGAACCCACATCCAGTAGTTTATAACTGCTTGTATCCTGCTCAGAAGGATCCAGCCCTTCCTCTGGCCTCTGTGGGCACCCGCACACATACTGGTATACACTTAGAAACATACATATGATTTATTCTCGATGTTTTCTGTTTGTTTGTTTTCCTTAAGGTAGGGGTTGACTAGCTCGTCCAGAATTCAAATTCAGAATCTTAGCAAAGCCTCATGAAGAGCTGAACCAACAGGCATGCACCCTGTGGCCAGCAAGATGAAGTATCTTCATGTGACATCGCCACCGTGTCTACTAGAGAAGAAGGCAAAAGAAAAGTCTCTCTTTTTAAAAGTACATTTATTACCAGGCAGTGGTGGTAAATGCCTTTAATCCCAGCACTTAGGAGGCAGAGGCAGGGGGATTTCTGAGTTCGAGGCTGGCCTGGTTTACAGAGTGAGTTCTAGGACAACCAGGGCTATACAGAGAAACCCTATCTTGGAAAAAAAAAGAAAAAGGAAAAAAAAAAAGTACATTTATTGTCAGGCTGATTTTTTTAAAAAAAAATTTACATTTATTGGCCCAGATGTAGGCATGTATCCAATCTTCCCCCCTCCCTCATGGCAGTCCTCTTGCCTCTGTCCCCCACCTGCTGGGATTAGAACTCATGCTACTGCGATCAGTTCAGGAAATGTCTTCTAACTTTACTCTTAAAGTTCTTCCAAAGACACAACAGATGGCTGTCTGGTTGTTCTGAGATCAGCAACTGTTAATTTAACATGTTTAATATGAAACACAGATCAAGGATGTTTGTCAGCCCGAGAGTAGGGCATCCCAACTCTGCCTCAGCTGCAGAAACGGGCTCAATCATGTGTCCTGGGATCAACCTCTGGAAAGAAAATGGGAGGAGTCCAGTGCCTTGTGAGGACAGTATGAATGCCCATGT